GGTCGACACCAATGCCAGAGCTCCAACTTGAAGGGCCCGTTGCAGTTTGTGGATCAATTGCGTGGCTCAATAGACCTACTTGTAGGAAGCTTCCCAAGTGCTGGTTCCGGCAACACCGTTCCAGGGACCGCGGATGTTTGATGAATCAAAAGACCACACATGGCCAGTGTTTTGTTTTTGTGGGACTGTTACAATTTTTGCCAAACACATCATGAAACATATCGCCCACTGAAGCATTCCCGCTTTTTTCCATGAGATTTGCAAGGTTGTCCGGCCAATCCCAACATTCTCCACCAGTTGTAGACCATGATAGACCGATGCTGAAGAACGTCCCCACTTCTGTGCAGGCCAAGTGTGCCTTGCAGGGGCGCTCCTTCACATGGTGCCGCATAGGCGGATCGAGAAAAAACAGTTTTTTCTTCCGATGAGGTCCAGGACCCAAGATATGAAGAATCAAGACTTCGACTTCTGCGATCCAGGTAGAGTTTGCATCCCTTGAGCTCTCATTTATAGAAGCCACCTTGCAACCTAGAACAGCTAGGCATAGTTAGGCATATAATATTTATCCGGTGATCAGATCATGATCTGCTCCCAAATCGCTTGGGTCCCTGGCACAGTGACGCGGTCCCGACCGACACATGGACGGAGGTGGTGGCACTTGCTCCCTGCTGTCCTCAAAGGCACAGAAAGAGCATCCACTGGCATCCTGACAGCACGGATCGTGCAGAAGAATTGAAGGCTGATGTGGAGTACATGCCTGACGCCAACAATCCATCCAGTCAAACTCTTTGGGCTATGATCCCCCTTCTTGTCTTTATGTGTTTGTGGTGAACTAAAGCCGCTAGTGCGATGCCATGGCCACCTGAGAACAGCAAAGGTCATAGGGCATTGTCCAGACCCACAAAAGTCGGACTGGCATTACTTCCATCAACAACCAGATGGAGAGGGAGATGCTTGTGAGATCAACAACCGGACTGGCATAACCGGACTGGCATTAATTCGCACAAGTCGGCTCCATGTGAGATTAGGACACTCAAGCCACCCGCCTATGTTCACCAATTTTCACCGAGCCGTCTTCAAGCACTCCATGACTTCCATCCACCGCCATGCCCTGGTGCCCTGGCACCATTCCGCTGCGAGCCTCTTGGATCGCCGCCGAGGATCCGGCGCTCCACGACCATGGCCTCTACAAACCAGGCGTCCGTTGGTCGTGGTGAAGACGGTGGGGGATTGAGGGGATCAAGATGGAGAACATTGGGTCGCGTGGAAAGCATTGGTTTGCCGCAAATGTATGGACATGGTCTTCCATGGTCTTCCCCAAAAATGACCAGCTGATAGAAGTGGTGTGGAAAGCTTCGCTTGTCTGAAGGAGCAAGTAGAACGTATGGCTCTAGACCTTAGTCGGCAACACTTCCTAAAGCTTCACAGTTCTGACCCAGCTGAGACTTCTTGGAAAATATGACAATCACATCACATTGATAATCACATCCGTGATCCCAAATGAGCAAGCATCCCCAATATCAACCCACGCTGCTCATCCGTTCCGCTGCTTGGAACTCGCTGTGTACTGAAAACAGGCAAACCCATGAGCACACTTTAGATCATGCCGTTTGGAAGATCTATTGAAAAGGATTGAAAAGGCAGGTTCCCTTGCTCTGGAACCCCGTCCGGAACTTGTGGAATGGGCCCGGAACTCGCTTGATCTCTGCCTTAATCGACGAAGGAGTTATATAGTCTCCTTCCAAGTCTCTGCTTGGCAAAGATTACAAGATCTTTGGGTCGAATTGCAAGATCTCGGGCTTTTCCAATCTTGGTGGAGAAGGCCATGCATCTCCATGTTGGAGGAGAAGATTCCAGATCCACTTGCCCTTCTGTCGCGTCGGCACCGGAGAGCACCTTTGACCTATCAGACAAGCTGACCTTCGCGAAGGTCGGCTCGCCGGGGGCAGCCGACATCAGCCGACAGTGGCGTGCTGGTGCCAGCGGCCTGTGCCGCCAGCCTTGTTGTAAGACCAATTGACAGGGCTACCGGCATCATGACTGAGGACCAAATGTATGGGCAAGATGCTTGGAATTTGCCCCCCTTTGGAGTCGTCGAGATGCACTTAGACACATAGAATCCAAAGGTAGTAAAATTTCAGAATTTTCGGATGAACAAGACTGCCAAGTGCAGTCGCTTCACCTGGATCATGAAAGTCTAAGCATGCGACCCACTGCTCACTACCAAAAAATGCAGCCAAATTAAGAACTTATACGGGTGAAACGCTGTTTTTTTCAAATGTGAAATCATGCATTGTCCTTAATTAGGCACTACCCATTTAGCATGTAAAAATCACAGGGTTCTTGAAAAGAGGAAAAGGGCAATGCCTGAGTAAGGCTTATTAGGGATCGATCTGACACATTCTCAAGAGCGGTTTAGGCCGCAGTATTTTGCAAATTGAGCACCGTCCAAAAAGGTCGGAACCAAAAGCTTTATGTCGGTAGGTCTTACATTGAGCAAGCACTGAAAACCGATGAGGAAAACCCAAGACCGATGCCTTTGTATCATACATACATACATACCTACATACGTACGTACGTCATACTACTACTACTGCTGCTGCTGCTACTACTACTACTCCTACTACTGCTGCTGCTGCTACTGCTACTCCTACTCCTGCTCCTACTACTACTACTACTACTACTACTACTACTACTACTACTACTACTACGACTACGACTATGACTACGACTACGACTACGACTACGACTACGACTACTGCCACCACCGCAACTGCCACCGCCAATTATTGGCGGCCACTGGTCCTTGAAGGGGGAATGAGGGCAATGCCTATTAAGAGCTCATTGGTCATCGCTAGTAGGTTGGAGGCCATCGCTACACTTGTGAGGCCATCGCTAGTAGTTTGGAGGCCATCGCAAGTAGTTTGGAATTCCGTGTCACACGGTTTCGTTCATAAGACTTGTCATTTGGAATGGGGTAAGCAAATGATCTCTTAGGTGGGGCTGATTCAAGTGAAATGGAAATGAGACCAAAACACGGGTGACTTCCAGATCCAATGGCAAATCGACCCGTTTCTCCGTATAGCTTCGCAAGTTTTGAGGTCAACGCATCCCTTTCAACACGATTTCGCCCAATCGGCATGAATTAAACATGCACTAATTAGGGATGACCGCCGAACCGACATAGAATTCACAACTGTTTCTATGTTGAAAACGGAGAAGGCCAAAATAAACAAGTTGGGTCAGTTGGCCCTTAAAAAGTGGCCTAAGTCTGGTGAGTGGGTTTCTTAATTGGGCCTGATTAGAGGTCAATTAAGTCTCTAATCCACCCTTAACAAGGGTTTCGCACATTCTGTCATTTTTTCACTCTGGGGTAGTGGGCAGTGGGGTGGTGTAGTCAGAACCTCAGCACGACGTCTCGTTCTCGCGCCACACGCGATCGCACCGCGCCTTTGCAGGTGGACCGGAAGCCACCAAGGAGAGAGGCACCGAGAAGGGCGAGGATTCAGGTTGTTGTGTTCTTTTTTCAGCAAAGAAGACAGGTGTTTGTCGTGTGATTCAACTGGAGGAAGAGGTGTGCTTTTTTTCCTGTGGCGTTTTCCCCGCCTGCCAGGTGAGGGTTGTTATATTTTATCAGAGCTCTTCTCTTCTTCTCCTCTCCTCGTCTCCTCTCCTCGCCAGCTCCAGATCGAAATACCGGACCTCGACAGCAAGCCTGCGCCAGATTGCAGTGGGCACTACCGGACATCAACAGCAAGCGCCAGATCGCAGTAGGCGCTACCGGACCTCAGCAGCAAGCGCCAGATCGCAGTGGGCACTCCTGGACCTCAACAGCAGGCGCCAGATCGCAGTGGGCACTACTGGACCTCAACAGCAATCACCCGATCCTAGTGCGCACTACTGGACCTCAACGGCAAGTGCCAGATCGCAACGGCAAACACACAATCACAAACACACAACCACAGAGACACACAGTCACAAACACAGTCGCAAACACACACACAATCAGAAACACGCAATCGCAAACACAACCACAGACACACAATCACATACACACAGCGAAGCACACAGCGAAACACACAACTACAGATACAACACACTACCGGGCACTACCGGGCCGCAGTTAGGCAAGCGCCGCAATTTGACTTGCCCAAGAGACTGCCGCCTGATGATTTGTATGAGCCAGCAGCAGAGGCTGCTTCACAGTCAAGCGGAAGCAATGAAAAAAAGTTTGATTTGTGGTCAAGCTTTGACAACTATGCCTATCTATCGTCGAACTCACACACTGTCAGCAGAAGGCGCAAGTGAACTGGAGTTGGATGGAGATGCTTGGCTTCTGTTGTATGTTCAAGATGCTTGGCAATGCAAGTGCAAGCCCGGGCCATGCTGCATGTATGCGGTCCATGGCAACATTGCTCCTCACCATGGCGTGAAAGCAAACCATTGAAATGTCATGGTGGGGATCACTCGAAGTAAAGTATCTTTTTTCGGCTGTTTCCAGTGCGGTGGGGTACAGCTGAAAGGGTGGTGAGCAGTTGTTCCAGACTTTAGACTATTAGATGATTGTCGTGCGGTTTCCCGGCGGTTTCTCATGATTTTTGTACAGTTGTTCCGTTAGGGTGGGTTTGGGGAGACATTCGGTGCAAAGGATCATGATGTTGTTCAAACCCAACCAGCAATCCAGATACCCAGAAAAACGGTGTTACAGCATGTTACAGCTGGTTTTGCTGAACGATGCGAGGATTGTTTGTGTCCACGGATTCTAAACCCACAAGGATAATCAATACGGCGAACACTATTACTTAGGGGATACGTTTTTTTGGTTGCCACTCTCCACATCAAGTCTATCAAAGGAGAATCATGCGAACTCAATCTAGCACGCCTAAAATCATCATTAATCATTCTTATGCCCTATATATGTGCATCGATTGTATACCTAGTGGGCCCATCCACTTGCGTGCCTATTTCTTTAAACAAAAGGCCTTTGCTTACGAAAGAGAGGGAGAGAGAGAGAGAGAGAGAGAGAAGGAGAGAGAAGGAGAAGAGAGAGAGGGGTGCATTTGTGCTATTCCCGTCCCATTCCCATGCCCTTCCCATGTCGTTCTCCGCTTTCACCTCCTTCGACCGTCTGGTGACCTCGGTCCGACCAGACTTGGACCGGTCGGGGGCGGTCTGGGACTACTGCGAGCCACACTTGGGTCTCAGCTCAGGCGGGATCCGATTCCAGCGAGATGGACCAAAGAAAGACGGTCTCGGCGATATCGGTGGAGGATGGTGTGTTTTTTTGTTGGGAGATGGGGCCAGGTTTTGTGGGAGGGGGACAGCGGAGAGTGCAGCAGGTAAATGGTTCGTCAAGGAATAGGAGAACCAGAATGAACATGAATGAGCTAGATGCCATAAGCATGCACAGATTCACACACACCTTCCCCTGCTTTGCTGGATTTCCCCCTGGATTTCCCCTGCCACCGGCGGCCCCGCCGCGACTGTCAGGCGCCGCACCACGGACGGCGCATGGTGCCATGTGCGCGTGGAGGGGCGACCTGCTGAGGAGATGACTCGAGCGCATGATCTTGCCCGGAACGTTTTTTGGGATGTTTACAGCTGAAGCTCCAGCAGTTCCACAGTCAAGAAAGAACTTTTTTGGGGGGCCAGTCAAGAAAGAGAGGCATGAAAGCATATTTGTTGACCAACCATGCAGTGAGAAGCCCGGAGTGGCTTCCAATAGACAATGGAAGCCTCAGCAGAAAACTTGAAGATTTGGTTAGAGTTGGCGATCTGCCGGGGAGGCGCTTTTAAGAGACAAAACCCACAAAGAAACATCACAAAGAAACAAACATGCGTCAAACAGAAAACAAAGGAAGGAAGAATTCAAGGAAGGAAGGAAGGAAGGAAGGAAAGAAGGAAGAAAGGAAGGAAGGAAGGAAGGACAGTAGGCCAGCTTAGCAAGCTGCGCTGTTCACCCTGGCCGGGGCTGTTTGCCTCGTGCTGCTGTGTTTTGGGAGGTTTACTAGAAACGATTGGTTTATTTCTGGGCGGCAAGCGAATCCCAGGTAGATGACCCAGAAGGACTATAAAGTCTCCACGGAATTTTGTAGATTTTGTGCCTTAGTTCCGGGTATCAGGTCAAGAAAAAGGTGTTTCCAACCTTTTCTAAACCTTTTTCAATGCTTTGAACTTGGAGGGCCCAGGAAAATCCCTACAGAGTTTGAACAATCCCTGTTGGTCTATCCCAAATGTGGAGGCGCAGTCCCAAGACCCTTTGGTCGCCACTTTATTCTGAGACGTCAGACGAGAGGCTTAGAGGTTTATTTTGCTTTGGGGGCCCTTGGAACACACTCTGGTACGTTAGTGGTGCTAGAATGAAGGCAACACATATTGTTGCAAACATATCGTGCAATCCCTTCTGTCCTTTTGTTGTAAGAAACAGGGTGCGGCTACTTCCCTGCTGCCATTTTTGCAGATGGCGTGCGTTTGCCCCAGTTGCTGCATTGTCAAACCCCTTCCTTTTGCTCGTCCTGCACCGTCCGTGCGGAGTCGTGCGAAACCTCGTCTTGCAGGAGATATATGGAAGACCCATTCTTCCTCAAGCAGGCCATGGGTCTTCCAGATGGTCAACCATGTTCAAGAAACACGGGAACAGTTGAGAATCATATCTTTCTACTTCCCTCTCCTCTCCTACGACTGACCGAGAATGAAATATAAAGAGCCCAGAGCGAGCCATTGTGGATGATTGTCCTTGACTGATTGGGACAGGAGCTTGTTTCATTGGGACAGGTGGGTCAGATGCATAACCAGGACCTGATGACCAGGGGCCTTCTTAATGGTCCTGGGGCTCGCCCGCTGCCATGATGTGTATTAATATGTATATAAATATATCAAGAGATCCGCTAAATAGCAGGAATCGAGGAAGGGTGTAAGATTATATAGATGCATAGATAGTGACTAGCTGGTCCTGAACATCATTGCTACAGGTCCTTGATGACTGTAGACATGAGCTGCGGAGTGGTCCCTTTTTCCGGATCTAATAAACAACCCGCCAGAACCCTTGGTCTAGTGGTATTGATCTATCAGTAGCTAAGCCCAATCTGTCTTCGAACAATTTCCGGCTTCCCCAGGCTTGTAGACACCCGCATGAGCAAGCACCAAGTTGCTACAAGGCTACTTCAAGACTACTTGCCACCCTTCAGTGCTGAATTCCAGCGCCGTGCTTCATTTGGAGCCGACTCTGGTCAGCTGGAACTCCAGTAGACATTGTGTCCGTTGACTCGCGGACGGTTTGAGGTAGTTGCCGGCCGTTCAAACCCGGTCCCTCCGTTTCCTCCAGGATGGCACGCTGGACCTGACGAAGGTGCCCTTGAGGGACCGTCTATCGGTGGAGGCGATGCTGCAGTACCAGAGACTTGGAGGCCGACGTTCGTTCGGATTTGATGTTCGTCCACGAACGAGTCACAGGTGGTAAAATGGCGGAGATTCTTCGCATCTTTCTCGCCTCTGAAACCACCCAGGAATGGGGGGTGCTACTGAGGCTTCTTCACAAAAGAGTGAACCAGTGAGGTGGTCAGTGGACTGAGTAAGGGGTGAGCAGGAAGATGGAGGAAAGAATGCTTGGAGAGTTTCAGGGTGTTACCAGTAAGGGCAAGGGGCGAATATATATATATATATACATTATATTTCACCAGTCTTTCTTTGTGGTATTGGCGAGCCTATACACACGTTGAACACACGTTGATACTTCTTCCGAGCTCCTTGGACGTTGGTAGTCTGCATGGAGCTCCCATGGGCCCTGGGTGATCACAGATGTCCATGTAGGCTTCGAGGGTCCAGTGGTAGCTCCCGAGAAGGTGGATCCACGCAGATCCCATCTGTTTGGGGGATGTGGATGATTCGAAGTGTCAGTGAGAGAGAGAGAGAGAGCACCATGCGGCCATGCGCCTTGGTAGTTTTTCAAGGTCACCTTGAATTCGAGCGGGCCAGTTCTCATCCCCAGGCTCTGAGGCTGCCACAATCTAATCTCCAGAACGCATTTGGAGGAGGGGAACGGGAGTAAACCGAAAAAAAACCCTTGGTTGGCATTTGCCTAGGTGAGTATTAAACTAAAATAAGAAGACCCCCAATGCATCAATCACAGGGTTTTTGGGTTTCAGTCTATTTTCCCTCTTCCAAAGGGTCTTTGGGAGGTCTCCCTAGTTTAATACACATCCTTGTGAAGCATCTTACACATCATTCATTCATTCAGTCCGCAAATCTTCAGCATGGTCCCAGCATTCGCATTCTCATGCCCGTACGAGTATTTCCAGAATGGCACCTTCGTGGTACTGGCCGAGCAGTCTCAAGAGAGACATGGGATCCTGAGAGAAGGAACCACTGCTTGTCTCACCAAGCTTCGTGCTCGGAGAGCTTAAACGATTGAGCTCACCATTATTGCCGGCCCTTTTTGTGATAAAGCCCAATTCACCGGTGATTCATCACCCGTTTCGGGGTTTGACGGTGCGAGAAGCACACGGTTTTCCTCGCCCAGGAAAGACCCTGAGCATCAGTTCCTTGGCTCATGAATCGAAGACTCTAATTAGATTCTAATTAAATTCTATTTATTGTTTCTAATAGCTTCTTGTTACTACTAGTAAGGCACCTGTTACTACTAGCGTGGCACTTGTTCCTAATAGCTTCTTGTTACTAGTAAGGCACTTGTTACTAGAAGCGATGCACCTATTCCTAGTAGCTTATTGTTTCTAATAGCTTCTTATTACTAAGTGGGTCAGTGGTGTCAGCGGTGTCAGCGCTGTGGGTGTGTGTCGTGTAGCCCTTGGAATCCAGGCAGACGTCTTTATATTTGGGGGCACCAAAAAAACGCTGATGAGACCGGTCACAAAGACACAGGGGTCAACCCAAACAGGGGTCCAATGGGTTCCATCCACATCTTATACTACTTCGCGACACTGCGTAGTCCTTCGTCGTCCGCGGGGAATGGATGCCCTCGGCCACCACGCGCCGTGGCGGACTGGACGGGCCATCCATCCACCACCGATCCTCGCTTCGGCCGATCCTCGGAGGAATCCGGTTCGGATGAGCTCTCGGACGGCCCGGTTCGGTGAAGCTCCGTCCGCAAGAGGAGGTGGGAACGCGAATTCGGACGGTTGCATCTGAGGCATTTATGCACCATCACGCCCCCTGGCTGTGGGATTTGGCACTGAAAAGGAAGTATGGGGCTGGGTGAAACACAGGGAAATACAGGAAACCTTTGTTTGGAAGAAACACTGTTGGCAACTTGGGATTCCGTGCTAATGGTTGTTGAGACCCATATCGCGTTGTGTGATGGGGCATGAGAATGCAAATCCTGATAGGATATGATGTGAAGATTAAATAGGGAGACCCCCCCAGTTCGACCCCCTGGAAGATGTAAAATAGACCAAAACACAGCGTGTGGAGGCTATTACTAGTAGCTAGAAAGCTAGAAGCTGTTAGGTTGGAGGCCATCGCATGTAGGTTGGAGGCCATGTTAGGTTTCACTCTGTTAAAATACACACTCAAACCAGAGTGGTAGCCTCACTGCAGCGAGACGAGACCGCACACCCGAAGCGTTTCATTCACCGCAGCGCGTCCCGTCACCGAGTCCCAAGGAACGGGATGCACATGACATGGGACTCGTCATGGTATACATGTTTATATATGGTCATATGCATAGTCATATGCATTGCATATGTCTAATAGATATAATATATATCTTTCATGATGTCCATCAATGTCGACATCTAAGGGACTTTGAGGGCCGCATACATGTCCATCAGGCGGTGCCATCCCAAGCCAGAGTGTCGATTCGATCTCATTAGTGGATTGACTTGAAGAGCCTGAAATCAGGACACCCTGGAAGATGAACATGGGTTTCTGATGGCATCATTGTTTGGGACCTGCAAGGAAGATGGGGAAGATGGGATGCGGAACCTCGGAGCTTCTCCATGTGCTCGGTGCTTGGTACGGGGCGTTTCTCCGTCCCAGTCGACGTCTGTTTTGCCCGAAAAGCAGTGCCCACATCTGAGGGACAGCAGTGGCATGTTCCGCGTCTGCCCCACCACCGTGGATGACGAACGACCGGAGCTGGCGGGCATGGGCTGGAATGCCTCACATAGCCAGCTGCCTGCAGAGGGGGATGGAGTACTTTTCTCTTTTCTTCAGGGTTTTCATGACTCTTGGATGGAGTATCTTGGTATGACGGATTTTCTTTTCCTCATGGGTTGGTCGAAAATCCAGGCGTTCTGGAGGTCTTCTCAACTCCTCATCTTGGGAAGCCGTTGAAGTTGTCTCTGCTATTGATTCACGATGCAGGATTTGGGATGCCGAGTTTGGGGGGCATTGAAGGGAACCTCTGGAATTTTTTGACTTCTACATACTTCTGCGATCTTGCGGATGCTGTAGCACCCGGGATGCACTTAGATGAAGAGGATGTTCGAATTGTAGGATCGAGTCTCCAATAACTGATGGATTATACTAATTAAGTAAACGTGCTCGTATCCCATCCGACTCTGCGGATTGCGGCAAAAACACCTGGTTGTGAGCTATGACCAAAGACAGGTCACTTTGACCAGAAGATGAGGAGAAGAGAAGCGAGGGTTGTGCCTTTGCTAGGTCACTTTGCCGACCATCTTCTAGCGACTTCCCGAACTTTTGACAGGTTCTGTCAACAACGAGGTTCACGTCCTGCTCACGACGTCCGTTCGTTTTCCATGGTTTTGTAGGGTCCAAACCACGCCAACACCTCGCCCGTGATGGGTTCGGCCCTGGTCTCTTCAACTGGGTGTTTTGGGGGTTCCCTCAATGGGACGAGTCCCTAATGACAGTCCTTCCACTGCAACTGAAAACCCAACCAGAGCCAACGCCCTACTCAACATGATCCCTTACTTCGGTGGTCCAATACCTGGTTGGTTTCGAACCAGTTGGCCCTGGACGCTTTTCTTTGGCATTCAAATCTGGAAATTCTAGGCCCTGGTAGGTTGACCTCCTTAGTAGCCCATTCTGTTCATTTTCCGTGGTCAACATTGGTCCTTGGTGATCCACAGCCATGTCGCGCCCACAATCCTGCCCAGTGGACACCCAACCGGTATACTGTGATGGACCTGGAGACCGGTCGAGTGCAGACACGGTCCAGTTGCTCTCACGCTTGTGAGTACATAGCTCATGAGCTAGCTGACAGAGCTAAGACATTGCTAAGACCTTATGAAGCCTGTCAGCTAAATAAGACACAGTGACAGCTATAAGCCCAGCTATACTTAATACAGACATATGATTGCTGAAATCAGGCACCCCCACCGGGTGGACATCGACCATCGGGGTGCTTTTTGCCGAAACCGGTCGGGCGGTCAGCGAGGCTGGGACTTCTGCGGCGAACGCCCCTTGGGCACCGTTGGAGAGAATGTGTCGAGGTTCTGAAGACTTGTAAAGAGTAGATCTGGGTCAGCAGGACCTTGGATCGTCCCACTATTGTGTGTTTCTATTTTTTAATAACGCCATATGTTTAAAGCCCTTTTCATCCCTTCTCTTATTTGGGTTGTCGTTGAGTTGCTGGTTTCCACCATGCACACTGAGCCGCTCACCCAAGCGCAAGCGACCAGCTGCGCGGAACCGCCCGACCTCCCGTTGGGATGGACCGAGACGTGGTGTGTGATGCTGGTGACCTGGGTGGTTCGTCAAATCTTCAGGCTGAAGGGGCTTCGCAATGAGCAAGTATTCAAACGAAACTCAAGCAATGAGTTGCTGGCCAAACATAAGGGATATATCGTCACATCTACGTCTGACAGTCTGAGGTCTTCTGTTGGATGCATCTTGAACCTTCGAAGCTTACACAAAAAACACACAAACACACACAGAGAGCACACCACCGCGCACAGCACACCACAGCACGGGTCTTGTAATGAGCACCCAGCACACCAGAACCTTGAAAAGGTGGAGATGCCCGCCACCACCGATGCTCGCCCCACGTTCGGTCGTTGTGCTTCCGTACCGAGGCTTCGGGGAAGACAACTGGAAGCCTGCTACGACTGAGACCTCGGTACATGAGGAGGGGACGAGACATGCGACTTTCCTCCGGCTCTATGAATGAACAAACAATTAGGGATACCACACTTCTGTGTGTATCTATATATGTATATATTTTGTAGGGAGACCCCCTGGCCCATTGAGGTAGACTGTAGACTGGTCATGACTGGTCTTTTTCGGATGAACTAGGAGGTCTCCCTGTTTTACGACACAGCCACGTGGTCCTTGGAAACCATGGATACCATGCCCGCAGGGTGATTGGACGTCAGGAGATCAGTGAGCCGTTGCCGCCACCAGCGGCCCCGGAGCTCCCTGAGCCGTGGAACGAAGATGGAGGGGGAATTGGATTCGGGGAGATTGAATTGGGAACAAAGGGCATCGCTACTAGCAACAAGTCGCTCCTAATAACAAGGGCATTACTACTAGTAGCGCGGATGCTACTAGTAGCTCCTGGCCTTACTACTAGTAACAAGGACGCTATTAGGTGGAGGCCATTGCTATGGGGGAAACATCCCCCCCGGTGTTTGCGGGGACTTCTGTATGTTCAAACAAAATCGACCTGCCTAATTGAGGCCCTATGCATCAGTCTTGTGAGGCATGACAGTTTGGGTGCCTATAGCCATAGAGTCATAGAGAGTGCTTTCCGGACACCACGTACATAGCCTTGCCGGCATGATCTGGGTGTGTATTGGAGTAGGGAGACCCACGAACCAGTTTCTTTTAGTCTATATATTTTTAGGAAGTCACCCTATTTCAATTCATACCCATGAAACCCATGTGCCTAAAACAGCCAAGATCCTTTGAGGCAAGCTAGATTTCCCAGTAGATTCCTGACCAGGGGGAATCTACCAGTTTTGGACCAAATGGTTTGAGGGCCTGGAAACACTGGTTGTGCACCTTTGTGGTAGGATCAACGGGCCAAGGGTAGTTTCAACAAGCACCATGACAAGTGTCTAGGCTTTGGGTTGGTGAACATGGATGCCTCATCGTGTGATGGCTGAAAAGCGCCTGGGAAGCCTGCGTTTGAATGACCTACACTACAGCATCCCCTCCCACCCCAAGACACACGAGGGAGTGAATTCAGGGGGCAGAATGGTGCAGAGGTTTTTTGTTTCCTGCTAGAACACCACTGGTGAGGGATTGAAGACACTGACACCACCTGAGATTTTGGGAATGCAACTCTTTTCTTAAGGGGGGAGGGTCTTCTGTTTTTCCAAACGGTGCCTTCCATCCAACGAGTGAAGACCCACGCTTCAAGGAGCGGGAGGCTGAGCCTCCAGAGGAGCTCCGTTTGGGAGACATCGAAGAGGCCGGGAGCCCTTCCGTGTGCCTCTGTGGCGCGCCACGCCAGCGCGGATCCCTAAGTCTTTTCCATGGTCAGACTGGTCAGAGGATTTTTTTATAATTTGTTTATGTCAGCTTGAATGGCTAAAGGTACAGTATTCATAGATATTCATATTCATCCGTCCTACACTAGATGGAACAGTACGTGGAAATCCAAGAACGGAAACTGGTCATGATTCGGATTGGTTCATATTCTGCCTACTCATTCGGATGGTTGTAAGTTGTAGATCAAATGCTGGGTTGGATCAACTCGAGTTGCAGTGTTTCTTTCCACCTGCTTTTCAGGCACCTTCTTGATTCTGTAGTGCGGTCATATCAACTCCAAAACTAAACAGTTGCACCCACTTTACAAAGGTGGAGAGGAACATGGTTTTCCCATTTTCAGTTGCTGCCACGATTGTCATCCAAACTGCGCAAGCGCTTGCGGCGCTTGCGGTGCTTGCGCTTGGCACTTCTGCTGAACTCGCCAGCCCATCGGCTATATGGTCCCACCGGTGCCTGCTGCGTCTGCACAGGAGTGGGCAGGGGGGGCTTGTCTGGGCGAGATGCGAATTCCACGCTGGGTATTAAAGCTGCTGGGGGCCCCGGGGTGGTGGGGGCTTGCCAATGACCCTGGTTTGTCTGGGAAGTTTCCTTGTAGGACATCTAGAGAAAATCAGCACAGATTCAGCACTACAGGTTCCTCAAGCAGATCCAAAATGGCTAAGTGGGCGTACTACCAGCCCTCCAGTCTCTGGCCATCTTTGGCCCGTTCATCTGTATCAATCTCCTGTTAGCTCCCGCAACCATTGAGTGGTGGTTTGTTCTACTGCCGGATGCCCAAATATTATGGTTCGGGAACATGTTCTATTGTTGCCTTGTGTGGCCTTGTTGAAGCCGAAGCCCTTCCTTAAACATATGTATCCTGCTCGGGAGGTGGGAACATTGTTTGAACCCCTGGGGGCGAGAAGACGACACACAACCAGCATTTTCCAAGGGCTTTGTGTTTCACATCGTGGAATCACTTAAAAGATCTTAAAAGCTTTTGGGTGTTACTCTTGACTCTCTTGGGGTTCTTCCCTCACAGAAGATTCCGAACGCACTTGGCTCAAGGAGTTGACTACCCATCCGAGTGATCAGATGGAACTCCAAGCAGCACACGCTGCGCAGATTCTCGGACCACAGGGGTGACGGTCTATTCGGATGCTTTGTTGTCCCCTTCTGAATAGGATTCAGGCTCCAGGGTGCTAATTTGAAGATTTGTCGTTTAAACCAGGTTTGAAGATTTGTTGCCAGGAAGGTTCGATCGATTGTAGTGTCCAATAGAAAGAAGAAGGAATCGGGGAAAAGATTGGGTGATCGACATTCCACTGGGGAGGGTGTTTTCAGTTGAACACGGCTGTGAGGAGATTTGTAGCTGTGAAACAGTCCTTTGTAACATCAGAAATAGCTTCTCTTAAGGGGCTTCCTTGATCAAGCAGTGACTTTCTTCCTTAATACGAGGTGCTTAGTCCAAAAGAGGCGGGTGATACTCTATGACTAATTATACGTGATACTGCTGCTGATAATATGCATTCCCTGAAAACATAATCGTGGAAGTGGAAACAGCCTCGTGGGATGACCATGAAATCCGAAGACCAAACAGGCTTCCATTGGCTTCCCACTTCCATGTGAGTGACTGGGAGTGTACCTGGTCTTGACTTTACTTTGACCAAAATGGTTCACCTCTTCCAGCATTGAGGGCGTCCATGCCGTGCATTTGGTTGCCATGGAGGCCAGGAAGCAAATCCGAGTGGTTGATGAATTCGACCGGCCAGGTTTCTTTCAGTTTGCCTTGGAATAATAGTCAAAATAGAAATAAATAATCCAACGGATTCCTAGGGGATGTAAGCGCCATCCAATGGCAAATATTATATATATATATAGATGACTAGCTGGATGGTTACCACAGCTCACAAAAGGGACCAGGATCTTCCGAAGACGGTGCCACACCATGCCACGCCCGTGATTCTTCGGGTCGAGCCTGGCTTTTTCTCTGGGCTTTGACCCGCTTAGGCAGAAAAGGAAACGGTGAAGAGTAGCTCACTGAAGGTGAAGGTGAAGAGAAAACCTGGAATGAAACCCTGAGATGCTGGACTTGGCGGATTTTCCTGCATTTCTGGAGCTTTGGGTCGGGATTCAAGGTGGCAACCAGAAATAATGGATGGGAAGTCCTGCAACTCCATTGCACAGATCTGTTCCTGCCATCTATTTCAAGACCAATTCATACTTGCCTCCCACTTCGTGGACCAGATCTGAAAATGCTACCCAAGGCCATCGTGGCCGAACCCGGCAGGACCAGCTGCGGCCACGGAGCCCGCCCTGCGCGGGGCTCGCGCCCGAGACGTGTCTCGGTGCTGTTAGTAGTTGTGGCTTCAAAGAGGTGCCTTCCCCCACCTACGATGCAGAATAAAACACGGTGAAGGCCATGCTCACGCCGACCATGAATTACAGTGGGGCACCTTCCGAATTCCACCATGTCTTTTTGGAGCAATTCGGTTACGGGCACCACCCTTCGTGAATCAGACAACAGCCACTTCATTCTTTGAATATCAGCACTGCCCCGCGTGCAGTGCAGGGTGGGCGCTCCGAAGTCTTAGACGAAGCACCAAGCACCGGACCCCCGAAGAAGCCGGTGCTAGCTCAGTGAGCCGAATCCAGGATGCACCAGGCCAGGGGAGAATGGATGATCATGATGATCATTGATCAGCATTTGGTTTCTTCACAAAGTATGCATTGTACAGCATGCCTAGCTTCCTTCCTGTTTCAGAGAGGCATGCTGAATGGACTGACCAATACACTACAGAGACATGGGTGTGTATTAGAAGAGGGAGACCTCCCCGTTCGACCTCCTCAGTTCGGGAAATACACCCGGCTACCCAGCCAGGGCCAGGGTGTTTTGTCTAAACACACCCGTTCCAGCACTGTCGAGACCTCCGTCCCCCCCCAACAACAGACAGATCGAACGAAGCGTCGCACCCGAGCGACCCGAGGAAAGGCCCAAGCCTGGGCTGATTTCCTGGTTTGTACCTCATAAGGTGCGAGCCTGGCGAAGAGGAGAGAAGAGAGCATGTCGTTGAGCGGGAGTTTTGGGGATCGAGATGTTCTTAGTGATTTCTGGCGGTCAAAGGCCATCCAGTTCCCGGTCATGTAGCATCTTGATCACATTACAACCCCCACAGACATGGATTGAAGATCCTCCAAACAGGCTTGGGGGGTTGAAAGAAACGACAATTTCAGAGTAGATGGCACAAAGCCCTACATGTCTTTTACATGGGGGTCCTTATATAAACCTTTTGAAACCTCTCCATCCACTATACCCACACAGACGGTGCGGCCCCCCCTGAGCTCCAAAGCACACTTCAGGATGCTCCGTGCACAAAGCCCGGCGTGGCAAAGCACTGCTGGTTTGCACGTGGAGCAAAAAGTACTGTGCGTGCCATTGCAAAGAACCGCTGGAGCCGGGCGGAGCCCATACTTTTCACCCCAGTTTGAAAATTCTCCATTCGTCGGATTTGGAGTGAGATTGTGTGCCGGCAGGTATACTTCGTTGAGCTATGTTGAGCTACAACTGTTTTTTTTTGTATCATTAAGCATGTTGGTGATTCTTGCATTAAGAGTTCCCCGATCACCCCATCTTTGCAGTGATGGTCCTCAGCCGGTCTCGCAGAACAAAGACCCGTTGGCACAACTGGCCTGTGCTTCTAATCGGTATACCATAACACCATACGTAGATATTTGGGCAGAGGGAGGGAGAATCGCAAGAATCCATGGAAGAAGGAATGTCCATGGTTTTCCCGGTGCTCAGGAAAAGGCATAACAATCCACGATATCCATTGGGGAAAACCCGCATGAAGACTGACCTTGGCACGTGATCATCACCCGTGTCGCTCGTGATCGTCCGTCGCGAAGTGGACCCGCGTGACGACTTTACGCGGCGGTAATTTCGATGGAAGACGTGGGCCCATCCGAAAGCGCTACACGTGACAGGAATGCACTCACCAAAAACAAGGCTTCGAAGTAAGTCTCTAAGCTAATCCTCAATGGAATTATTGATCTATCTGAGACAGAGACAGACTCAGAGAAGATCGCGATGCCATTTGCTCAAGGTCTCCAAGGGCACGCATTCACACACTCCCCAAAAGATGACGCAGAACTCTCCCCAAAAGGTGCTTCGTTTGGATCTTGTTTGGTGAACTCTTCTTCAACCACTCGCTCGCTTTCACGACTTCTCATCACGACGGCGGGGCGACGGCCGAATGTGAGTGCCAGCGCCATGCATGAGCAGAGAGCTCGCGCGAAGTCTTGGGGTGCTTGGGCGACCCGACCGCAGTTGGACGTTTTTGACGGGCTCGAAATCCTTGTGGACCCGTGGGCGAGATCAGAGACGTGACGAAGCTCCCGCAACAACGTTGAATCTCCTGCAAACGTGGGGGGAAGGTGGACAACAAATTTCTTTGAATGAGTTCTTGATTGAAAGGGCTTGTTTTTGTTGCACTTCTTAAGCCATTGGTCTAGCCACGAGCCTAGTGATTGAAAGGATATTTGGGAGCTACTCCTGTCGAGATTGAACTCTGCCAGCTGATCAGTCGAGGTTGAACTCTGCCAGCTGATCACCCTGCCCATTACCTCTATGAAATGAGGGTGGTCAGCCGGGTCAGCCCCATTTGAAACGTTTTAGAGCAGCCACACCCAGGGGGTCAGGTCATCATTTTATAGAGAATTGTGTGTGTGTGTGTGTGTGGGCATGAGTCTGATGCTGCTGAATGTGGTGGAAACAAGCACCATGATGTGGCATGATCGTCAGATGAGAAAATAACAAACAATGTTTTAGGCGAAAACGGAAAAGATGCAGGCTCCGCCGTAGTTCACTAGGAGGGCCCCTGGAACAGGCCTGGGAAGAACTCTGGAGGAAGCCAGAACATTGGCTTTGGCAGGCGGTTAAGGTGTGGGCAGACCATTGGGAAATGATAGTAGAAGGCAATGAACCTGAAAAAATATGGAGAGGAGGGGTCAGGACAGGGGTTGGACTTAGACAGACGATCTGAGCGCAAAGAAACAGACTATTTCCATTGCTTCACTGTATGCTTGGAATATGACATCAGGCAAGGTCAATTTAGGACTTGAGGATTGATGTCAGGTTCTTCAAGTTAGGCTGCCCACTGCAGGTTGGGACCACCATTTCATATCTATAAAATGGATCTCAAGACCCCCCCTCCAGAAGGGACAGGGGGATGCCAGCTGCAAGATCTCCCTTACTTGAGCATACTTGAGGAGTTGAAGGCAAAGTCCACATGATGCGCTCATTGCCTCTTGGAAGTTGAGTAGGCAGAGGGTTCCCTCCATGAAAGACCACGGCTTTCCACCTGCGGCGAAGAAAAAGCACCGAACAAACCCGCTCCTGTTCCTAGCTAGCGTCCTCTTGTTCCGTTCGTAGGTTGCGGCCAGGAGGCCCCTCACGTTCCGTTCGCGTCCGAGCGGAACGCCGTGCGTCTACGGCGACTGCCCGTCGACGGTTCCGTTCGGAGCTACGTCGTCTCACTCCGCTGAGGCATCAATCTGCCTGGAGGCCGCCGGTTCACCGCTCGCGCGAACGAACCGGTTCCGCATCGGATGCCCGGGTGTCCGCAGAAGAACGACGCGACCGAAGGGCCGTCCCACCAGTCTGGTGAGAGTCTGGTCACAGCCGAGTGTGACCCACAGCCACACTTCGTTGGCCAGTGAACACCCCAGTCATTTCATCATGGTTCATCATTTCGATTTGCAAGAGCCGAGAGCCTCATTGTTGTGAGGCCGAGAAGGCCCCAATCCACCACTGGATATGGCTCGGATTGATGTGGATGGAAGCCAAATCACAACAAAATGGTCAGTCGCATGGACCTCGTCTTGAGTTGCTTCTGTTCTTGAGCAAGTCGTTTCCGCCACTAGGACGAACTCCTGACAAGAACCGAATCCATCTCAAGTATATACTCTTCAACTTGCATTCATGCGAAAAAAAGTTGCAAAAACCAATTGCCAACACTTGCCGCGTGCGTTTCACCCAGGCGTTTTGTTTGCCCTGTGTCAAAAGGTGTCACGGAACGACTGGTTGGATATGCAACAGCTGGTAGATGTTCATTTCGAGGCTCGCAGATTCATGTCATGGTGCCGGGTTTGTCTCCTTTGACTTCGCACAGCTTCGTACAGAGGCAAGCACTTCAAGCGTTTCAAGAGTTTCAACAGCTTCAACAGCGAGAGCCCGCAGTGCCCCAGCTGAGAGATGCGGATATTTTTGGTACGGCTCCAAGTGGGGATTAGCCGAAAGCATCTTAACATGGGTGTGGCTGCAACTCATGGGGAATCATGGGTTGCATCATGCAAATCAATGTTCCAGAAGTCCAGAGATCCGGCTCCAGAGTCGTCAGATGTTTGGAATCCCATTCCGTTGGGCCGAAGCTGGTGATTTGATGCGGTCTTCTCATCCCAACTTGTTGATTTTGGAACAAAGCCCCCTCCAGAACTCCTGGCTGCCCAAGACCATTTTTGGCAAAGCCTGATATACAATCACCATTTGGGAATTGAGCCAAGAGTTTTGAGCAGGGTATATTTGGATGGCATTTCTCATGGCGTAAGATTATGAGATTCCAATTGCTTTAGATTTGGGAGATTGTTTATGAACATGCTTATGATGTTTAAACACCACCTACGAGCCGCCAGATCGCCTGTGAGGAGGACATCGCTGAAGCGCCACGTTCGAATGACCGAACGCTCCTCCGTTCACAGTCCCGGTCCACATCTGACGTGGAAGCAGAGAGGGAAAGCAGGAAAGCACAAGGACCGTTTGCAGGACCGTTTTGCAGCGAGTTCAAAGGATATCATCATTTGCTTGAAGGAATTGAGATCCTTGGGTCCCAAAGTCGTCCGACACCCATGCGCTCCCGATCTTCCGATCTTTGAACCCCGCATGCCGTTGTTCGACCTCTTTTCCAGTCAATCTATCTAGCCCAGCCTATAGCACTTCAACTTCAATCCGATGTGCTGGATTGTAGACCAGAGCAACATTTGATGCCAAACGATGGAATGCGAGGGTGAGTGGTACGTGGGGGGTGGCAGGTTTTTTTGCATCGTGATCATGTGGGTGTTCGCAAAGCATCAAGAAACCACTGTAGATCTACAGTTTGCTTCTTTTGTGAGGTGCTTTGTTGAGGAACCTTCCGCCAAAATCATCGAACATCATGGGCCCAGGTCTGAATTGCTTGGAGAGTCGCCTAGTCGTCCTCACTCAGGGGGTGGCCTACAACGCCTTGCTCGTTTGCCTGGCCCGGGGTCGACAGCTGTCCCGTGCATTGAAGGGGCTGTGGCAGTTCAGGCTGGGATGACGAGAACGGGGCAGAACACTCAGCCAAAACATATGGGAACATGAGGGGATGGGTTTTCAGCGGAACATTTCTGGGGTGTCCACATCAACAAGCCCGGATGTCACGAGATCTACATCATGTGCAAAAAAAAACATATCTTAGGATGTAGATGATAACATATCATAACGGATGTTATATCTTAGGACACCATGTGTTGTTAGTTTGTTTATGATCATGTGACTCTGGCAGTTAGCCGGTGGATTCAAAGGAAGAACGCGAAGAACATCACCGACCCACCCTTCGAGTCCTGACCCGGCGCCACTGCGTAGCCCAAGCGCTTCACCACAGAGAGCACAGCCGCAGACGGCTTCACCCCCCGAAGTGCTGCAGGGAACAGCGGGTCTTGGTGGACCTCGAAGCCTATGGGGGCCTCATCAGTGCCGGGAGCCCAAAGAGAGCCCTGGAAGTGTGCTTTTTTGTCGGGTTTTCGGTGAAAGGCAGACTGGGGCGACTCGCAAAAAGAGCAGAACGAGCGAGGAATGAGTAGATTCCTTTGGATCTTTGGATCCAGCCACCCTGATTGACTCATTGCTGAGCACCAGTGCTACCAGAGTCTCATTGGCAATTTTTGTGTGTCGCAGGGAAGTAACATCAGCTGGTTGGGCCAGCCCTGATTAATTAATTCAGACGCTTGAACATCTGGAGAGGTGCATCGGAGTAAGGACTATATGGACCCCAAGACTTAACATGGTTGGCAAGCTTTTGGAAAAACGCCGCCGAAATTGAGCAGATATCTGAGATTGGGGTATGGGTTCCCCACCTGTCAAAACGCCAGAACCCTGGTTGAACCCAAATTTTGACCTAAGCCTGCAAGGCTTTCTGGCCGCGTAGGGTCCTCCTTCCAAGTAGAACAATGTTAAGGCCAGGCAGGGAATTTCAAGATTCTCAGCTGGTCTGCCACGGGTCTGTCTACTTAGGCCACCCCATCATGTCATTGCATGTTGCTTAGAGTATCTTAGAGTCTTGGAGTTGCTTTAGAGCTTCAAATAGCGAGTTTCGCGGTACAGGTATCAGATCATGATGGA